GGGGGGGGTTATCGATCGGACGGGGTCCCCCGGCGGGGGGGAAAAGGGGGCGGTCCCTACTCTCACCTCTGCAGCCGTCGGTGGAGTAGGGGTTGCCGTACTGCAGCTCGGCGGGCCTCTGCGGCACCAGCGGCGGGGGGGGCGGGTCCTGCGGGTAGGGCAGGGCGTAGCGCAGCAGCATGGGCCGGCTGGCCCCCGCCGCCTGGGCCCCCGCCTCCTGCTCCCGCTGCCTGGAGGCGTAGCGCTGGAGCTCCTGCGGCAGAGACACGGCAGCTAACCCGAGCCAGCCGGAAACCTCCTCGTCTTACCCGGACCCGGGCCTTCTCCGGGCTCATTAACTCATTGACTGCCAAAGACGTCTATAGACGTCAATTCAAATACAACCGTTGACTGCCAGAGACATCTATAGACGTCTTTTATGTTTTTCAACGCGAGTGGCTTGGAGGACGATCGGCTAAAGCTTGTCCGTAAATATCAGGCTTCTAGACAGAGTATGTACTAACAAGTTGACCCTCTAGGTGGCTATGCCACTTTTGAAGGGAGATGAGCATAGATTGTAGGCAAATAAGAAAAACGCAATGGTTCGCTATGCGAGAAATGGCGCCTGTGAGACGCAAGTCGAGGAAGAACTGAATAAGGTAGAAACAATTTTTTTTTCGTGATGAAAGAAGAGAGTCTACTCTTTCTTTTGGTGTGTTCGGTGTTTACATAGTCATAGCACAAACTATTCTGTGGCTCTTGAAAGATCAGTCAAAATGCTCAAAAAACTCTGGCAGTATGGGACTCTCTGTTCTGAAAATGGCTGGCAGTCAATGAGTTAAAGACTTGGTTTCTAAGAGCCATCATCATCAGATTTAGGGGCTCTTTGGAGGGATTCTGCCCACTTTTCCTCTTCCGGAACCACGAGGCCTTACTTTTTCTTTTTCACTTACGGTTCAGTTTCCCTAAACACTGTTTTTGCCCTTTGTGAGTCCGTCTGAAGCCAGAGCATTAGTACCCTACTCATTACTGTAATGGGTGTCAGACTCTGGCTCCCTCGGCTCCGGCTTCCGCTGACGGGAGGCGCTATAGCCCGCTCCCTCTTTCGTGCCTTCTTTGTTCCTCCCCGGGCTCCTCTCTTGATGACTTCATTAGCGCGCTGCTATCAGGTTTAACATTTAAACCAGGGTTGGGGAGGTGAAACAGACACGTCGCCTGGCATTTGCACTGTCTAATGGCACTGTAGCGGCGGGCGGAGGAAGCAGGTATGGATGTATTAATTAGAGGAGGGCTGGCGGGTGGGGTGGGGTAATGTCCAGCTGGAGGGGGAAAACGCCACTGAGAGAGTTTAGACTCTAGAAAAAAAAAGAACTCATTTAAAGTAGGGATTTAGTTCTGGACCTCGGCTTAGAGCGCACACAGCACACGTCCATCATTTGGACTCGCTGCTTTTGATGAGGTCAAACCACAGCAGAACCTCTACTTATGATCGCCTAAGGGATATTCGACTTGACACCCAAAGTAAATTTCCAATAAAAAAAAAAATACTGTATATGACAAATTTTATTAAAATAAATAAGGTAAGTTAGTTTAAATTTGAGGTAGTAAAAGTGAAGAGTAAATTAGGGTATGTTCTATATCTCAGTCTCCACCTGTACCTCCATTCGCCAGCCTCTAAGTTAAAGCACCAATAAAAAGCCCTTTTTATTGACTATTTCTTTATAATTGATTTGTCTTTACATCTCTCTTATATAATGCATTTGTTTTATTGCCATGTGTAACTATCTGCAGTATTTATTAAGGAGTTATTATCGGTGTTTGGGCTGTGGAACGAATTACAGTGTATTCTTATGGGAATATTTGAACCAACGTACAAATATATTTTTACATACGAAGTAGGTCCCGGAACGAATAATCTGTTCTACTGTATAACCTTAAAGCCACCGGATTGGGCAAATCTGCGCGGGCTCACCTGCTGGAGCTGCTCTTTCTCCTTCAGAGCCTTGGCCAGGTTGCGTTTGAGTTCGGCCACCTCGCTGACCCGCTCCGCTATCTGCACCTGGGGGGGAGGGAGATGGAGGGGAAAATTACAGCTGCAAACGGAACCACAGAAAAGCCACTTATACTCCTTTAAAGGGGTAAACGGGCAGTGACGATGCAGCTTTTATCTAACCCGGTGCCGTGTGGGGGGTTTACTGTAAAACCCACCACAGAGACCCGGTCAGTGTTCTGGGAGGAAGATGAATCGGGTCGGGGGGGTCGTCATAAATCTCTCACACTCTTAACAGAACTGACCCGGTGAGATAGTTTACATCGCTAGTCGCAGACTCCTCTCTTATTTCACCCCATTTCAAAGCTTCCCAACCAATCCCTCCCCCCCCTCCTCCCGGGGTTTTTCTCTCTCTGCTTCATGTCCGTCTGTCCTGATCTCATCACTCCTAAATTCTGCCTGTTTCTCTTGCCGAACACCCACCCCCCCCATCCCCTCTGATTTGCTTTTATCTCCACCCTTTCTCTTTTCATTTCAATTTACGGCTCGGCATTAGAGGGCTAAGTTCAGGTGGAGGGGGGGCACCTCTCCCTCTCGGCGTCCTCCGGCTGCCTGATGTAAACAGCCGTAAATACGGGCCCGTGCGCCTGCCTCTGTGCGTCGGCCCTGCGGCCATTAAGGGAGGCTGCCACCCCCCTCGCCCCCCCCGGGCGCTGGGCTCAGACGGCAGACTCCATCAAAGTCGGGGGAGAGCTGTATTTACAGCGCTGGTAAACACACCCTCGCTCACGGGGATGAAATGCCCGCCAATACTTTGGTGGACGCTTCCACGAAAAACTGACCTGTTCTGTGTGGAACCCCCCCCCCCCCCCACCCCCTTTGTGCCTCTGTGTCTCTCTTGGCCCACGTTGCTCATGGGTCTCCTCTCTTGATGCGTTTGAGAATTCCAGAAACAAGTCGTGTCTGGCTCCTATTAGGATTTTCCTTCTGTGAAAAACTGCCCTTTTCCTCCAAGTGTTGACTCAAAAATGTTTGTTTCATGACGTGGATTAAACTGAAGCCACGCTGGACCACACTCATCCCAGGAAGGGGAGGAAATCGTCTCCAAAATAAGGACCACCCCTGAGCCTACCCACACATCAAACCTGG